ACGACAACATCATCATCACACATAAAATAATACAATCGTCATTGTTTACATCGGTGTTTTGGTTTACAATATTACAATTCCAAAATATAAGTGTACAATGATAGCAAAAATATATCAAATCCATGAGTTCTTGAAGGCCAACCTGCTTAACGATTTCCTGAGAATACAAGTTATTTTGAAAATGGTCAACATATATAATGTTGGTGAGTTCATAAGCATATTTGTATGAAAAGTTTGTATCATTTTGTAAACACCAGAAAATCCGATATTTTCTGTAAAAGAAATAAATGGTTTAATCGCTTTGTATCAAATCTTGTATTAAAGCATGTGTGTTTCTATTTTGAAAATGTATAAAGAGTGTATTCCAGAATTCCCATGTTTTCTGTTGTAAGTAGAAGGTAATGTATAATTGTAAGTTTTTCCAAAAAAATCCGATATTTTTGCTTGTAAAAGTATTGTGGTCTTAAAACCCAAAGACCGTAGAATGGTGCTTGTATAGTATCGCAACTGTATAAATGTTTATGTATTCCGTAAATTTTATAGTGGAGTTAATTTCTATGTGAGTCGTTATAACCATTCTTGATATGACAGAATTGCCTGTCATGACGTTTTTCAGGCGTCGACTTGTTTAAGGTAAAACATTTGTCACCCTAGACTGACCTAGTCTAGCTGTAGCGAACAGCTCAGGTGCAGGGCTGTCAACCCCGTATAGATCTATACACAAACTCTCTCTCTCTCTCTCTCTCTCTCTCTCTCTCTCTCTCTCTCTCTCTCCCTCCAGGAGACTCTGGTTATAACTACAGGACTAAAGGTTGTACACTAGGTAGGTACGAATGAAAGAACGCGTCTCACAAGAACCTTAACTATGTTTACGCAAATATTGTATCACACTATGTAACACAATAAATAATGTTTTCGTGTATGTTTTATGTTTACAAGGCCCAATAAGCATGTAAATGGACCACAAAGGCCCAATAAACATGTAATATATAGACCACAAAGACCCAATAAACATGTAATTTATATTCCAGGCCCAATAAGCATGTAAATTGACCACTAAGGCCCAATAAACATGTAAGGTATATTCCAGACCCAATAAAAGTGAAAATGACGTATTTAGTCCGTTTGTTATTACGTTGTTTGTTTTAGCTCAATTGTTTACCAAAATGACATAAAATGCCCACTTTTTGTAATTATGATATTTTTGGCCCATTAAGCCGAAAATTTACAATTAAAGCACATTTTTGGTAAAAATGACACTTTAGGTCCATTAAGACCAAAAGTTTACATTTAAGGGCTTATTTAAAAAAAACATTTTTAGCCCACTTTGTTAGAATTAACCTTTTCGGCCCAATTTTGATGAAAGTTGACATTTGCGCCCAAAATGTATAGAAATTTAACCTTTTCAGCCCAAGTTTAGTAAAATTTACATTTTCAGCCCATTTAACCGAAAATTTACATTTTTGGCTCAAATTTGTTTACAATGAAAATTTAACCCCCAAAAGTCAAAAGTTTACAAATTTAGCCCATGAAACCGTGAAGGCCCAACTTTAAGCCCATTTTGTGAAAATTAACACTTTTGGCCCTTTTAAAACCATAAATACCTTTAAGACCCATTTTTTTATATAAAAATGACTCTTTTAGTCCTTGAAAAACCGTGAATGTCCTAAAGGCTTCACCTTTTTGTTTATTTGTCAAGAATGGCCCCTTAAACGGCTTTGTTAGTTTTCTAGTGTTCCACAACATGTTTACTCCTTTCACTTCATAGTAAGTTGTATAATGTGTGTTAGTTTACAAACATCACCAAGTTTTGGTAGAGTTTTCGAGATTTATGAAGTTTCATCACATAATCACCACATATAACATAGAAAACACACATAAACATACATAAACACATAGATCTAACACAAAGCAACTTGTATCCTCCCCCAAAACATAGTAAAAACCGAAAATAGGGGTATGAACTCACTTTGGGGTGATGGATCGATTTTGGTGGAGTGAAGGAGATGTTTTCGGCCTAGCTTACTTCTTTGATGAGATCTTCGAATTCTAGGAGATTCAAAATGATAAACCTTGATGAAGTATCCTTGGACTCTCACACAAGCACACACGAATTTGGAGAGGGAATTTGGAGAGGCCCATACACGAGTTTTCGGCCCAAAAGTGGTATAAACAATGGGTTTTCGGCCCAATGATGTCCACAACAGTGTTTACGGCCCATTGCCCATGAAGAGTTTTGTGGCCCAAAACCAATTAGGGCCCAAATGTGTATTCTTAATCCAAAACAATTAGGTTGTGGGTTTATTGGCCCATTAGGCCCAATAAATGATTCCTGGCCAAAAAAGAGTTTGAACTAGGAATTTAGGGTTACAACCCAAAGTAGAGTGAACATAGTGCATTAAACTAGGTTTAGGGCTTCACGAGTGAGTTTTTGATTTGAATAGTTGTTTTTGAATGAATAACATGTATGACATCAATCTTAGAGTTACAAGATACATCAAGAGTTGACCATACATAGATAGAATTTCCTAGCCAAAAATGCTAGTTGTGACATCATGACACCCGGTTTTCCCCAAAACCCAAGATTTTGACTACTTAATGCCCTAAACCGATCTATCCTAGAAAACGGGTGTTACAGAAGAAATCTGATTCAAGTAGGGGGGGGGGGGGTGTAACATTTGTATATTTAGGTATTATTCTTTGAATTTCTTTTATGCTTAAGTCTTGGATTTAGGAGATTTGTCTTCCCGCGACATGGTGTTTTGTTTCTCGCGGCGTGGTGGTGACACGCCACCACGACACTGTGGTTAAATGAATTTGCAGCACGACACTGCAATGTGCACAAAACCCTAAGTTTCTGGCCTAGGGCCTTATATAAGGAACATGGGGGCTAGGGTTTCATCCACCCTCGGCCTCCATCACCCCCATAAGTATCCCTTCCAACCCTAACTCACTTACATATGTTTTTAGAGCTCCATTTGGTGGTTTTGGCCCTTTAAAGGAAGAAAGAAGGAGTTGTGGAGCAAGAGATCAGCAAGCAAGCATCATCCCAACCTCTTTGAGCATCTCTTGAAACTTTGTAAGTCTCCAAGACTTTATATTTGTGGCTACTTCTTTATATATCTAGGATTTGAGGATAATTCTTCTTGTTGGGAACATTTGAGTGAATGATTTCAATAAAGTTTGCAACTTTATTGATCAATGAAGCCCCTTATGCATTTTATATCTTATATCTAAAATTCTAGCTTGTATTGATGTCATGCATGGGTTTTGACCCCATTTCTCACCATTTTGACCTATAATGGAGTGTGACATGCATTGGACATGCATGCCTATAAATTAAGGATTTTTATGGATCATTTAAGTGTTAAAAAGCTTTATGGAAAGTATGAGTGTCGGGTATAAAAGATTATAAGCTTAATCCATTAAGTTGTTTTGGCCAGTTTCTACAACGCAGCGTGTAGCTTGCTATAATGCGGTGGCGGGTTTCATCAGTGACTGTTTTTGTCGTGTCGCTGCCACGGTGTGGTGGCTGACCGTTGAATTTGTCCTTTAATTTTTGACATGGTTGACTTTTGGTCAACTGAGTAGTTTTAGATGGTAGACTAAGGATTGACCTCTTATTGATGTTTAGGTGGTATGTAGGACCAGTCTTTACATATTTTGCGAGCTGTGGTGTTAGTTTAATCTGACTGCGAGACAAGTCTTCTCAATATACTATGTAGGAAGCTTGATGCTAGTTGTCTTTGTGACTCTTGCATGGATTGTATGAAAGACCAGGATTTGGCCGGTGACAATTATAAGAATGACCCGAATTTGGCCCCTGACAATTGTATGAAAGACCAAGATTTGGCCCCTGACAATTGTATGAAAGACCAGGATCTGGACCTGACACGAAGTAATTGTTAGACTATGATTTGGCCCATAACTTTCACTTTGGGTTGAAATAGATTCGTTACTTTATGTATGGTTGTATGTGGTATCTCGGGGAACTCACTAAGTTTTGTGTTTACGGTTTTATGTTTAAATTGTTTTAGGTTTTCTTATATCGAAGGAAGGGCGCAACTTGATTGTATCGCATCCATTGGAGATTTTTCCACACTTAATAACTCTTATGACTATACTCTGATAAATGTTTTGAATTAAATGGTTTTACTAGATCTTAGAAGTTGTAGTTGGAACAAATATTTTAAAATTTTAAATGAAAATTTTAAAATAAAATTTGGGACGTTACAGAGCGTAGACCGGATGATGCTCGGTGGATGTTTGTGCCTATAACTTTCAACACATATGCATATGACTGGAGTAACATGACTGATGGATCCATTTACCCAACGTGGCCTGAGTGAGATACAATATAATTGTGTTTCGATGACATTACCTAAGTAATAGTCATTTATAATATAATGTTATTTGATGATTACTTAATTCAAACATTTTGTGCAACTTTACATCCAATATACCGAATGTTCACTAGTTTTTGAGTGTTTTGGATTTTAAGACATTTAAAATAACTATATATGATAGTCATTGGGTGGACGATTAGATTTTCAGAAAAATACATCTTGGTTTACAACTATGTGAGCCCATATCCACAAACTCCTAATAGATATCAAGTACTGGGGTAGACCCTATTAAACCCAGTCCTAATTATCTTATTCGGGTTGGGGTTCGCATTAACCAAGTTCGAGTTTTTTTGACACCCCTAATGAGGTGCATAAAGTTACCTCTCATGGTAACGATTATTACATTGAAAAGACTAAAATCACCAAAAAAAAATGTTTAAATTTAGACCATTAGTATAAGTGCAATTTTTTTTAGACCCTAACCATAGAAAATATAAACCAATGGAACATTTTTGCAATTTTATCTATTTAACAAATTGGTGACCCTTTTGTGATCCATTTTCGGTCATTCTAGTGTTAATTCCGTTACATATCACCGTTAACTAATGTTATCCCGACCCAAATTTACAGGGTGCTTTCCGTAAATACTCGGAAATGCCTGACGATAAAACTGCTCCGGTGCATTATCCTCTCTATGTAAAACCCTCAGCCCTACTCGGAGACGAGGCCGTGCACCATCGTTCGTGATCGCAGTCGCCCATCAATCAATTGTTGTTGCCGCTGAAGAAGACATTCAGCTGGTGAATTTCGTTACTTGGTTCGCAGTACTCCATCACTTGTCAATTTGTTTTTAGTTATATTTTAACTATGAGTAGCTCTGCCTAGGAAATTTTCGTGCTCGTTTATGTTTTAGTTGACTCGCGTTCAACGTTTGAATAGGTTACTCAACGAGCAAATATAATCGATGGAAGCAATAATCAAAAATAGTTTTGTTAAATCCTTCACGCTAAAGCGTCCATCTATTTGCCTATTTGGTTGTCTTTGAACTTTCATACTTCATATTTTAGCTCATTTTGGGAAACAAGATATGAGCTATGAGCCCTAAAATATTTGTTACATTCTACGTTGTAGCAGTTACTGAATTCAATAGTCATTGCAGTTTGCAAAATTTAATAAAATAACAACACTTTTTGCAATACAAAGTTGCAATGTAGCCCTTTAGTCGGAATTGAATCTAAGTGATCTTCCAATACTGTAGCTTCTAATGTGTCTATGCAAATGAATATGGGGGTAGGTTAATGTGATCTTCTCTAGCTTTTGTTACTTACTTACTCCTAATGTGAACTTGGAACATACATTGTTGTTTTTTGTATAGGTCTGGACTCTGGACCAAGGTCTCTCAATATGATTTTAAATGGTCACTCCCTATATGGGGGGCAGTGGACGAACTACAAGGCATGTAAGACCAAACCATTGAAGTCAATGTCTGAATGTGTTCTGCATCCATATACACTCTCAATTTCTAGGGTTAGAAGTTCTTTGAGATCTCATCAGGCGACAGGATTTTTCTGTTTGCAAGGTTTGTGCGTTCTCAAGCTACTTTAATTTGTCTTTAAAGTTTGAATGAATGCCTCCATGTTTGTTATATCAGACTAATTAGATCATAATGAGAGTTCCCAGATTAATAGTCACTTGCGGAATCAAGGCTAAGAATTATCAAGAACACACAATACACAATGAATTAGTGTTGAACAGGGCCCTAATGCTTGATTATCACACAGAGTTTACCAGACAGGTTTACATTGAGTGCTTGTAATGAGAATATGTGCACGATGTCAATAAGAGTTCACAATTTATAGGACATGTCAGCCATGTTGGTTAAGCCCTAACAAATAAGAAAGTAACATGTGTACTATACAGTTACATTTCATGAAAACTTTAAGAGTTTGGTCTTCCAGAGACATCATCTTCAGAGTTGCATTTTCCAGATTCCTTCAGAAATCAATCTCTCTTCTGGAAAACTGTACTTCTGGAAAACTGTACTTCTGGAAAGAGTTGGACATTTCCAACATTCTTCAGATTTAATGCATGATTGCTTTATGATCTTAAACTGATTAGAGATGGTGTTTTATTCACAAAGAAAACTGGGACATTTACGTGGGAGTTGAACTCTAGGTTTCACACACAATTTGCTTCTGTTTTCTTTTTATATTTCTTTGGATGCTTGGAGTTATCATAAAGTCTCTCCTTATTTATGTTCATGATCATGTACTTTTGAGTAAAATGAAACCACAAAAGTAAAGACTCTTTTTTGTTAAGGTTAAATGTAAGAAATATCAACATAGTACATCTTGCTATCATTTCATTTGTACTTCCAACATTTTTTTCTTAATGAGGTGGTTTACTTTGAAAAATTACCCCAATTATAACAGTGCACTTTCAATTTTTTTCTTATTAGGACATTGTACTTATAAAATTTTAAAAAATTTTGATACGTGAATGGAATTGTTATAATTTCAGTAGATTTTTTAAAGTAGAATGTTGTGACAAGGAGAAATGAAAGTAGATTGCTGTAATAAACAAATGAATAAAATATGTTGCTAATTCTTGCATTTAACCCTTTTGTTTTATGTTTGAAATCATGTAGTTTTAAGTAGTCTATGATACAGTTTGGACTGAATCTTGGAAACAAAAATTAGCTTTCAAGTGGCTAGAACACTCCTAGAGATTGACTCTCACTGTATAGGTCAAAAGATGATGACCAACTCCACCCAAACTTGTATATAAGCTAAACCTAACTAGGAGAGTTACGAAATTGCCCCCTCACCAAATCTTTTATTACATAACTACTACTTATTGAGTTATTTCCCTTAGGGCTAAGTAAGAACTAAGAAGTGTAACGGTCTAATGGCATGCCAAGATCATGTATGTTTATGTTTGAGTAATATACTGACTGAAGCCCATACCCATACCTCTGAATCGTTTTTTGTAAGTTTCTTTTCTTCTCCTCTAATCCTTTTTTGTCATTTTTTTTTTTAACAGCGGGAGGCACTCCGTTTGTTCATCTGTCAGCCGCATCATCTGGTGGAGATGTAAGCCACCTGACACCTAAAAAAACAGCAACCAACTTATCTCCAAAAGGAAAAGGAAAAGGAAAAGGAAAACGCTACTCGAGCATATCTCCAAAAGCATCAAAGGACACGACACCGTTGAGCTACAAATTCCCCCCAATGGAAAAAAAACCAAAATGGTACTGGAGATCCTTAGCATGCCTGCCTTACCTGATGCCGCTCCACGAAACATGGATGTATGCAGAAACCGCGTATCACCTTCACCCTTTCCTCGAAGATTTCGAGTTCCTAACTTACCCTTTTCTGAGCGCCCTCGGGGGTCTACCCAGCTGGTTCTTGATCGCGTATTTCATAATCGCGTATCTGGCGATTGTTAGAAGAAAAGAGTGGCCCCACTTTATCCGGTTTCATGTGGTGTCGGGGATGCTGTTGGAGATCGCCCTTCAGGTGACTGGAACCATATGGCGGTGGTTGCCTACCGCCTGGTATTGGGGTAAGATTGGGATGCATTTTTGGACCGCATTCGCGTTTGCTTTCCTGTTTACGGTTTTGGAGTGTGTTCGCTGTGCTCTTGCTGGAATGTATGCTGATGTCCCCTTTGTGTCTGATGCCGCTTATATCCAAATCCCTTATGAATAACCTAAGCTGCATGTTGTTTATTATTCTTCTCTCTCTCTCTCTCTCTCTCTCTCTCTCTCTCTCTCTCTCTCTCTCTCTTTTTGGTCGCAGATTGTGCTATGTTACATTACATCCATCCATCCTTGTATCTCTTTGTTTATGTAATCCTCTTTTTTCATTTACGAATCTTTTCTCTTTTGGATAAATGATGTTTAACAGATATTTTAGAAAATGGAAGGAAAAAGTATGGTGGAAAGCGTCTTTTTTCCTATTAAGTTGTCATTTTCTATTAACTCAATAAGACACAACATATCACTTACTAGATTTAATGTTGTTTATAAATTCAATATTTTAACTCAATGTTTGACCACTTAATCTTGTGCCCTCCCCTGTTTATTATGACAAAATTATCCCTGGAATATGTAAATTGTGTGGGTGGTCTAACATTCTAACAAGGTATGTTGCTATAATGCAGTAAGAAATGTATTTATATTGCTAGTATGGGTAAAAAATAAAGTACATTGTCTATATTGCTAAAAAGGGTGTAAAGTTTGTTGCTATTTTCAGCAATTTACCCGGGAAATAACATCCTGCAAATAAGTTTGGAAGTTGTACAACTTTTGATTGTGGAGTCCTTGTCTATAAACCAACCAATTGACCTATATAAAGACCGTGTTGTAGGAATTTTCACTTGATTGAAAGTTCTCAAAGTTTGAATTATCATTTTGTTTGGTCTGAGTAAGTATTACTTAAAACGTGATTAATGATGGATTACAGTTGTTTATATGGTGATTAGAGCATCATGGTCATAATATCTGTTTGGTCGCCACTAGAAAGAGCTTTAAGACGCCATCAATGCCAGATTAAATTTCTTTGTATGCTATCAAACTATCAATACCATTGTGTCATACCATATTAAGCATCCCCTATATTGAAAGATTTTGTCCCACCTTTTAGGGTGAGGTGAATCTTGTTTTGATACCATACCAGTCTTATAGTTCAATTCAATGTATGTCGAAGGTAGAACAAGGCCATCATGTATACCATGTGTTATGTAACACACCAAAGGGATTAATATTTTTTTTATATAATGTCGTCACTCATATCAAAGATTGGTGTAACCGGTTACAGCCCAGTCCCTTTTAACCTATTTATGAAAATAAAAAATGAAACACATTAATAGAAATGAAATTGTTTACATAAAACCATGGTTAAGATCTTATGATTTTAAGATCTTACAAACCAAAAACGATCATGATCTCACTAGGATCTATTTGAAGCAAGATCTATAGTGGGATCTTATGATCCCAGCTAAGATCTTAAGATCTTAATACGATTCGATCCCACATCTATAGTTTTATTATATAGTCGAGCTTAAAAAAATATTTTATTTAACTTGAAATCGAGCATTTCAAGTTGCAAAATCCTCATAGACCATCATCACTTCAACACTTCATCTCAAATTAGGCAAGTTACACTCATAACATTCCTTTATGATCTTAAACCTTTAGTTGTAGATCATAATGATCTTGTTCTTTTTGTAATTAAAAATGTTTTCTTCCAAATCTTTATGGTTTATAGCAACAAAAATTACGATTCATGCTTAAAAAGTTAAAGTTGACTCTAATATTGACGTCTTAATTGACATCAAGTTATAATATACTATACACCTAAGACCTCACAGACAAATTTGAATATAAGTTAATTATGATAGGATCTTCCGATCCCGATCCGATCTTATGATTACGATATTGCAAAACATAAAACGATCATGAGTAAGATCCCGATTTTAACAACCTTGCATAAAACAACTATAAACAATGGGGTTTTTTTGGTCTTTTAACCCATCGGGTTTCAAAAACTAATAAAAGTAACCTATATAGTTAGTTGGGCTTTTTAGGAGTAGGATCAAACGACCCATTGGCCCATATCTTGTCTCGCTTGCTTTGCAGCCTTTGCTGTCTTTCTCCTCTAACCAATGTTTTAAAAACCGGTTTTTTAATTGAACTGGTATGTTATCGGTTTCCGGTTTAACCGGTTCGACCGCTGAGTAAATCGCTTTCTATAATTTTCATATTTTTTTCGTATTTTCATACACATACATACATACACAAATCAAAAATTTGATGTCCACAAGTTCAAACATTAAAATACACATGAAAACAAGTTGTAGATCAATCTAAATATATTAAAATAACTCATAACCATAAGTTTACATCAATCCACGTGCATTAAAAAGAAAATAAAGTCCTAGATGAATATCGCATAAAAAAAACTTCATAACATTTATCATATGTTTTTATTCAGAAATTTTTTTAATAAATGTAAAAACACTACCAAAGTTTATTATGCAAAATGTTTCAATTTCATGTGTTTTTATTTAATTTAACCGGTTCAACCGGATTTTTGTAAAAACCGACCGGTTCAATCCGGTTCAGAAATAGACATAAAACCGGTGATAGTTGAACCGCTTCCTTCCCCGCTTTCCGGTCCAACCGGTTCGACCGGCCGGTTCAAACCGGTTTTTAAAACATTGCCTCTAACACCAATTTTCTAGGTCGGTTCTTGGTCTTTTAGTTTAGGCCATGGTTGGTTCAAACAATTTTCTTAAACATGTGGTGTTAGCACTATTGTCTGATAAATAATTACATTATAACTCGTTAAATAATTTATTATATGACACTATGATGTTCAAATTTTTATATAATAGTTTAGTAGAACATTAATTTTTAATAAGTTATTGTAAAAAACGCCTCCATCAAATTTCTTTGAATGGTTGCTAAAGTGAGCATAATAATATAAATTAACAAGTACTGCAGAATGCAGAAAACATAATAATACTTCAAATTCCAAATAAATATTGTAAAATTGCATTTATATATTATAGGGTGCATAGTTCTTCAATCTTTATTCTTGATATTTTAATTCTTTTGGCGAGTTGTTATTGCCGTAACTTTCGTTAACTTGGCTTGGTATTATTTTTTAAAAAAGCTGAATTTTATTATTAATAAAATGCTAAAAAAGAAGCAAAGATAACAAGGAAATTATAGTCAATAAGGTTTTTTAACCAAAAATCCTAATTAAAATTTTGTTTAGGATTCTATGCATCAACTAGTTAAAAGAAAACGACCCAAATTTATCCAACATATTATCATTCCTTTGCTTTTTCTCATCAACATTGCCACTTCCAAGAGCTTTGGCATTGTCATATGCTTCATCACGTGATATTATATCGAGTGTTCTAGTAGACAAAACAATAGACGGTCAATAATCGTATAGTTCATATATCAAAATCCAATTTACATTTTTACAACCGTTGGATGGATCATATGCTGTGATTTTTTTATACTTCTATACATTTTAGGTGAAGCTACATTCGAATATAGCTCACTAATAACACATTTTGTAGAAGACATAGAAGTATATCTACAAAGAGTTTTGTTTATGCTCTGTGTATAATCTGACTTCTTTATGTTTGGACACATGCTTAGACAAACCAACATGTAACACCTCCAATATGAGTAAAAAAGTTTCAAGGATAACTTGAAAACATTTAATCAACTTTAAGGAATAATGCATAAATTAGGTTCCAAAACATAGTTAAACAATTCATGGTTATGGCTTTCAAAATATGAGGGCATTTGGTGCCAAAAAACTACAATTTTTTCTTTGTCAGGTTATTGTCATGTCATTTTTACCACAAATATGTGGTTTCTTTGCCACAAAGTAGGTGTGGTGCCATAAATTTTTAACAATTTAATTTAAATATAAACTCAAAATTTCATTAATTCAAATAAAAAAAATACATAGAAGAATTATAAAAAACTTAAAAAATGAAAAACACATTTTTTTAAAAAAAAAAGTTCACAACTAAAATAACTAAAACATACTACATGAAGTCTTCACCTGAGAACTCGTCTTTCGAGTGATCTGGAGGATCTAAATTGAGATCAATGTTTTGAATCCCGTTAATGTGTTCCACCAAGTCCATGCAAAGATTGTGAAATGTTTCAGTGCTATGTATCTCCGCTCTCGTATCCATGTACTCATCGCCACTAATCTCTTTTGGTTGTGTCTCGGGGATGGTTTCATACTCGTCATACGCACATATCGCTCTTCCTTCATCTTCAATAATCATATTATGCAATATGATACATGCATACATGACTTCTTGAAGTTTTCCCTTGTCCGAAAAAATGTTGGTTTTTTGAGTATATACCAATGTTTCTTAAGAGCTCCAAAGGCTCGCTCGACATCCTTCCTAGCTTTCTCTTGAGCCCTCTTGATTTTTTTTTTCCGTCTAGAATCATTTGGACATGAAAATGATTTAACAAACACAAAATACTCAGGATAGATCTCATCAACAAGATAATAATCATCCTTATATGGCGTTTCATGCACTTGAAAAGAAGAATCTAGTGTAGATCTGTCATATATGTTGTTAAATATAAGTGAACGGTTAAGAATGTTGATGTCGTTAATCGAACCGGGGGAACCAAAAATGGCATGCCAGATCCACAGATCATGTAATGCCTATAACATCCCAAAAATTCCAGGATAATTTGTTACTTTTAATTCGTTTTAAAAATCCAATAATCGTATCAAAACAACCGAAAGTGTATCATAGTGAATAATATCAAAGTACAAATCCCAAAATCACATAATGCGGAAAACATGGGCGGATGCGGTGCAATCAAGCCGGTCTCTTCCCTTTTGCGCTGGAAGTACGTGGAAAATAAACTGAAAACCGTAAGCACAAAGCTTAGTGATCTCCCCCAAATTACCCCATACCATACATGCATAATAGTCAAAAATATATTGGGTCTATTTCACCCCTTTCGATATCTTTCAACCGGTATTGGGTCTATTTCACCCCTTTCGGTATCTTTCAACCGGTATTGGATCTATTTCACCCCCTTCGGTATCTTTCAACCGATATTGGGTCTATTTCACCCCTTCGGTATCTTTCAACTGGTACTAGGTCTATTTCACCCCATTCGATATCTTTCAACTGGTATCGGGTCTATTTCATCCCTACATCTAGCATATAATCATAACAGTAAGAGTCATAGAGACAA